TATAAAGAGCCCAGTTATCAACTTACACGTCTGAAAAAAAATAAAATTTAAAAAAACCTTACACATCTATAGTAAATCAACCTTTGGTCTACTAAGTAGGCAATTCAGTGAAGAAAGAATACTCAAGACATAGTGCTAGATGAATTGAATGTTAACTTTTTTTTAAAAAATGTAGATATAAGTCTCACTTTTCACAAAATTCAACTTAAAATACTTTTAAGTAAACATTCTTTATTATTTGTTATCCAATATCTAAAATCATTTCTCTTTTCAACTTTCAGCTTTTACCTGCCACGATAGTGGAGCTACAGTTTTGGCATATGCTCCCAAACATCAGTTGTTATTATCAGGTGGCAGAAAAGGATTCACCTGTGTATTTGATCTTCTGCAAAAACAACAGAGGCAGCTTTTTCAGAGCCATGATTCCCCTGTTAAAGCCATTGCTATTGATCCAACTGAAGAGTACTTTGTCACAGGATCTGCAGAAGGCAATATAAAGGTATCTACAAAATAGGGTAAAAAGAACTTCAGAACTCTTAGCTCTTCAACCATATTAATACTAATCTGTTTAAATATGTATTAATTTCTTTCTGCTCATCATGGTAATTACCACTTAAGATATCTTTTGATGAAGAAAATTATATTTAACTTAAAGATTTTTACATGTTTGCAGTACATAATGAGCTTATTGTGGGTAGTTGACACTATGTATGTAACATGTTTTAATGGTGTCCCCTTCCTTTCCCTGTACTCATTTCTTGTATCTCTTGATCTCCTTCCCATTTGCAAAAGATCTGTTTCCCCATTTCCTTTTATCTGTCTTTTGTTCTGTTTTTTTTTTAATATTTTGATTTCTTTAAGCTTATATCTGAGTTATTTCTGTTTTTCTGTTGTTTTAAAATATACTTATTTCTTCCTTAAAAAGTAAACTTTCCATGGATATAAACATATTTTAGACAATAAAATTAATCTTGACTCCATGTTGTATAATTTGCTGGATTTTAAGGTATGTACTAAATAATGTATTAACATTTTCTTTTATTCCACATTATTCCCTAATTTTTGATATGCAAAAACAATATCTGAGCACCAGGAATATAGCTCAGCGGTGCCTGGTAAGCACATGGTCCTGAGTTTAATTCCCAGTACAAAAAAACAAAACAAAACAATATCCAGTAACTTAGTACCTGATTCGAGAATTCTGAATGCACGTGGACATACGCTATTCTTACTAGTTCTTTGCAAACTTCATTGGGTTTAAAACTTAAGAGAGGTTGCTTAAAATCTTAAACAATTTGTTAGTAATATTAGGGAACTTATTAAAATTGCAGATTACTGGGTCTTAACCCAGAAATACTCTGCTGTGTAATTCAATATTCAGAATTCTACAAATCTAGTAGTTTTTATGGAGGGCCCTGTGGAAATGCATAAATCAATTGAGGCACCCTAGAATCCTGAGGTGATCGGAGCCATAGAATGTCAGCAGTCTGTTCATCCATGCATGCCAAATGGGTTGTGGGGAAGGTGATTGGTACAGCAGTGCAAAAAAAAAAAAAAAAAAAACCTGCCAAAGTGAGAGTGACCAGATTTGTTCTGTATCTCTACTTATTAAAGTATTTTAGGAGGCCGGGGAGATGGCTCAGTAGGATAAGTGCTTGACTGGCAAACGCAAGGATCTGAGTTCAATCCCCGGTTCCGCCAAAAAACCAAAAAACAAAAAATAAAGTATTTTAATAAGCAGAAAACACCTTGCTCACAATGCCCTTTAGCAGTGCACTGTTGGAGATACTGTACTTCTCAAAGCTTTACCTGTTCCATGAACAGAGCACATGAGACGTGAACTGGCTGAGATTGTCTTCAAAGTGGGTAGAATAATAGATCCAATGTCAGGAAAACCCTGTGCAGAAACTGGCTACGTGGAGAGTCCAGACAGTTTAGAAACCACTCAGCTCAGCATAACTCTGGAAGAACTCAACATCTCTTCAGCACAGTGAAGGGCAGGAAGAAGGGAACAGGGAAAGATTTCTAAATTTCCTTATAAACTGTGTCACATTCTCTTGTGGCATTTATGAAATAGTAAAGGACTTGTTACAATTTTTCATTAAAGATATGAATTGAAAAATAAATAAAAATTAAAAAATTGAAAGTACTTTCTATGTTATTTTAATGGTTAGGAATTCTGTAGCGCTGAGGGATCTAGGTTTTTTAGCATATATAAGGCAGTAGTTGAGCATATTTAGTGCAATAAGGTGAACTTTTTGATAAAACTGGCAAATTCTTTCGTAATTCTCTGCTAGAATTTTTTAAAAGCTTTTCTTAAAATCAAATATATAGAGAAAAAAAATTATTTTTCTCCCACTTGAAGCCACTTTCTTATCAAGAGTTCCTTTAGTTTAGAATAAGTCATAGTCTGATTTAGGGCATTTCTTTATACTCTGAGGTTTATTGCTTATAACTTAACAAATCCATGTACATACAGATTAGTGTCGTCATTATATTTCTTAGAGAAAATTTCCTTAGCGATCTCAATAAAATCAGGAAATAAATTGGTTTCTGTAATACTAAAATAGATACCCTAAAAGCATGTAAGTGAAAATGCCTATAATTTGCTTTAGAAACAGGTACATTTATTTTTATAAGGGTTAAAAATATAAAATCTTAGTAAATTTACATTCCCCAAGTTTTAATATTTGGCTTGGTATTGTAGTTAAAACAGAGGTTTGCCAGAGTAGTTAGTGGGCCTCCAGGTATCACTTCCTTCTTCCCAGCTATTCTGATCCCTTGGTGAATATTCCATATTACAAAGAAGGTGTTAGTTACCCCACTGCAAAATTACCCAACAGAGTTCTGCTGAGAGGTAGAAAACCTTAATTGTAGCCCCTGTAATATTACAAGTTTTTGTGGCATTGTACACTTACCCTCCATGTACATAGATACTCTCATCTCCAGTGCAGGAGATAATACTTTAATATCTTACTGGATGAATTATAAGCATTTAATAATATAAAAACATTTGGTAAACTGTAAGCCTGAACAGGTTTTCCTCCATCTTTGTTTAGGCAGGCCTGAATTTTTCATTCGGAGTCTGAAGGTAATCATCAACCACATGTCCATTTTCTTCTTAATATTTTTCAGATCTGGAGTCTTGCCACCTTTAGTCTTCTGCACACTTTTATCAATGAACATGCTCGGCAGTCCATTTTTAGGAATATTGGAACTGGAGTGATGCAGATTGAGACAGGACCAGCAAATCATATTTTTTCTTGTGGAGCTGATGGAACAATGAAGATGAGAATACTGCCAGATCAGTTCAGCCCATTACATGAAGTGTTAAAAAATGATGTGAAATTCATGCTGTAATATTTTTACTAGAAAACATACAGTTTATTATCCTTTTGAAGGAAGTGGCCAACAGATATATAGTAATCACTCTATACCACAAATAAGCTGATGCTTTGTTTTCATATTTACTTACGGAGCTTTACCCTCATTGATGCACTGATGCCTTAAAAATTAACAAAATCATTCATAATTTTATTAGATCACCTAAAGTAGAATTTGTAAGTAATGCTGTAGTAATACTTATGTATAGTATCTTTTGAGTATGTCATAATATTAAAGTTTTGTTTTCTTATTGTTTATCAACTTTTCTGCAGATATCGCTGCATGAATTTCTTTAACAGTAAAAATACCTTTTGAGGCTCACATACTCATCACTTAATTCACCACTGACTTCTTTTATCAGACAACATTTCTGAAAGTCTTTTCCTCTTAATGATGGAGTGATTTATGAATAAGAATGAAACAGATAATGACCCTTTCATTCAAAACTCATTGGAACTTCAGTGATAAATTAGATAAATGGTTCATTATGTGAGGCTTCCATCAGTTTCTCTTCCCTTCCCTTCTTATTGCCTAAATTGTATGTGTGTAAATGTATTTGTGTGTATGTATATGTGTATGTGTGTGAGAGTGTGTGTGTGTATATATATATACATATATATATTATATATATAGCTTACACATTTAAATTTAGTTTGTGTATATATTTGCAACACCCACAAATTTTTCATGTTTTTTTGTGCCATAACAACTACTGCCACCAGAATAACAACTTTTTTGGCAAATGTTTATTTTAAAATATTTTAATTCTCATCCGAATTTTCAAATAAATCTCAATAAGGCTTCTAAGATTGTTATTTTTAGATTACATTGAATCAAATAGGTCTTAAAAGGCAATAAAGATTCTGTGTTGGCATATATATACAAGATGCTTTAAAGTAAGTTAGGAATTTGACAAGAGTTCATAAATATACATTTTTCTTAATTTCTTTTATTTTTTTAGGTGCTTTTAGTCTCAAAATTTCTGAAAACCTTACAGCAGTGTTTTTAGTAACAAATGTGAAAACAGTCAAATAATAATTGCAGATGTAAAATACCCTTCAAATCTAGTAACAGAAAATAAATTAAGCCTTACATTGTATTATTTTTGCCAAAATATATTATTTTATTATAAAATCTGACCAAAATATTTAAAATTCATAGTACTTTTAACTTAAATATGCTATTTCTGTTTTGTGCTATACATTTTCTCATTTAGAATTGTAGAAAACTTGATAAATACTTGAGTTTAACAAATGAGACTGGAGGAAGGGGGAAAAGTGCTAAAGGTATGTTAGCTGCCATTTAACTTAAATTTATTTTGTTAGTAGGAATTACAAATTAAAGGAATTTTTATGTGAGATATAGACAACTATTATCTTAGAAATTAAAGCGTCAAAGCAAAGAAATGAAGGGCTAGAAAATGAATTTTGTATATGCCTCAGGATACTTTTGTCATAAAAGTATATTGTTAAAGATTTTGTAAATTGTATTTCATGATTTTACATGTATTAAGCAAGTTACAGTGGAAACACTGTTGTTATGTAGAGAGAGTTTATATATACAGAATAACTTGTATCTATAAGTTGTGCAATAGCAATACATGCCTATTTTGCCATGGAGAAATCTTGATAGCATCGGAATAATGTTATTATTCCATGTAGTTAAGCTTAAATTATTTTTCAGTAATTTCTTCATGAATCAACATTCAGAAGGCATAAGTACTTTTAAAAAATAGAAAATTTACTATTGTGCTTATTAAAACAAGTCATTGGGGATGAACAGTTAACCATTTTAATTGAGGTTTATATGAATAGCCATAAATTATGTAAGCTCATCTGTATTTACAGCAAATCATAATATTTTAAATAAACAATCATGCAATGACTTTTTTGACATGCTATTGTTTTAAGTAATATTTATGCCAATTTAGTTGATTTTATGTGACATTTTAAAGTGGAAGATTTCTATCTTTATATCTGATTAGTAATTGAATAACTTTCAGTAATTTGTTCTTTTCTGTAATCTTTTCCACTTAATAGGTAAGTATTAAAAAAGATGGGAATGAAAATAGGTGAACTATGTATATAAATATGATATATACATACTTATAAATTTTCACTAGCCATAAAATTGTAGTGATTGGGTACATCAAAATACATTTTTAATTCTGTTTTCTGAAAATATGTCTTTGTTACAAGAATTCACAATATTGTTAAGACTCTTTTTTCCAAAAAGTAGGATTTTTTCTAACCATTGCTCTGTCATCTTAATCCTCTTTCTTGCCCACTAAGCCTTGTTCTTTTTTAAAAAAAAATTCTTCATTGATCTGACTAAAGCGCCTGTTTAGGTAGAACACAGCAGCCAGGGTTCAATCGACAGCCTGCTGGGCCTGCCCTGCCCCTGGGCGTGCTGAGACTGCAATTGAGACTGGGCATGGTGGATCCATCCTGTAATCTCCAACCTGTAATTCTCCCTGAAAGCAGGAGAATTACTGTGAGTCTAATCTACATAGTGTAGACCCTGTCCTAAATACAGAAAAAAAAAATAAAATTCCTCATTGAAAGAGTGCAGAATTTCTCAAGAATTGAAACAATACAAAGATACACATTTAAATGAAAACCTTATACAAACTTAGGGTGGAAATTTTTTTTAACAGGATTAGAAATCCAAACAGACATAATTCACTAAAAAAAATTATCATATAGCAGGGAAGCACAGTACAAGTTAAAATAGCAAGCAGACAAAAACAAGTATTTCTTTTTTTTTTTTTTTCAAGTACTGAGGCTCAAACCCTAGAGGCTAACACACACTAGGCAAGTACTGTACCTCCTGAGTTGTATCCTCTCCCTTAGAAGAAATATTTGTATAGTGATAGAAAATATGTCACTGTCTCTGAGACAGTGAGACAATGACAGAGTAACTTTAAAATAAGCTACTAAGGGCCAAGGAGATAGATAGCTCAGAAGAATGCACAAGGGCCTGAGTTCAATCCCCAGTTCTGCCCCACCCCCCCAAAAAAAAGTTAAGCTACTAAAGGGCTGGGGAGATAGCTCAGTAGAATAAGCACTTGCCTGGCAAGTGCAAGGTCCTGAGTTCAATCCCCAGTACCACGAAAAAAAAAAAAAAAAAGCTACTAAAAAAAGGTCAAATGAAATAAGCATTCACCAGAGTACAACATTGAAAAGATCATCAAGCATAAATTATGCTTATCCTCAATAAGTATTAATGGAATGTTAAATAAAAGGAACAGTGGGGCTGGTGAGATGGCTCAGTGGTCTAAAGCACCTACTTAGAACAAGCTAAAGCACAGGGACCACGGTTCAATCCCCCAGCACCACATGCCAGCCAGCCCCACCCCCTGGTGGGCTGAGCTGGCCACACACACACACACACACACACACATATAAATAAATAAATAAATAAATAAATAAATAAATAAATGGAACAGTGTATGTACTGTTACATCACTTTATTATGCTTTGCAGATGGTGTCTTTTACAAATTGAAGGTTAGTTGCAATTGCATCAAGCAGGGTGTATCTGGACTACTTTTCCAACAATGTGTATTTCATGTCTCTCACAGTTTAGTAAGTTATATTTCCAATTTTTTTCATTATTATTATGATAATTACTGTTGTAATTATTTTAGAGAACAATAAGTTGAGCCTGTACAAGCCTACGAACTGAAATGATAAATGTCTATCCTGAATGCTTTGCTGACTTGACTGTTCCCTGTATTTCTCTCTCTCCCCTCAGATATCCTACTTCCCAGAGATACAACAGTATTGAAATTAGGCCTGTTAAGAACCTTACGGTGGCCTTTCTAACTGTTAAAAAGAAAGGAAGAGTCTCTTGCCTCTTCTTTTAAAAGCTAGAAATTTTTAAGTTTAGTGAAGAAAAACATCAAAAGGAGGAGATAAGCTTAAGATTAGGCTACATGTGCCAAACAGCCAAGTTATAAATGCAAAAGCAAAGTTCTTAAAGGATCTTAAACTAAAAATGCTCCAGAGAGTATATGAATGCTGAGAAAGTAGTACAGTCCTGTTACTGATAGGGAAAAAGTTTTGATAGAAGATCAAGTCAGCCGCAACACTCTGTTGACCAAAGTGTACTCCAGAGCAAGGCCCTGATGCTCTTCAGTTTTAAGAAGGCTCAGAAAGCAATAAAGCTGCAGAAGTTTGAAACTAGCTGGTTTGTTTATGAGCTTTAAAGAATCCATTTCTCTAAAAGCAAAGTGCAAAGTGAAGCAGCAAATGCTGATATAGAAGCTGCAAGTTATCTAGAGGATCTTGATAAGATTGATGAATGTGGCTTCATTAAATAGATTTGAAATATAGATAAAACAGCCCTAACATTGGAAAAAGATCTCTTCGAGGGCAGTGCAACTGGCGACCTTAGGTTACAGTCAGTTTTCATTATTTTAAAAATCTTACAGCCCTTAAAAATTAAATATACTCAACCTGTGCTCTATAAGTGAAACAGTAATGCCTGGATCACAGTGTATCTGTTTACCCTATGATTTACTGAGCTTAAACCTACTGTTGAGATTCACAGGTCAGAAAAACTGGTAATGTACCTCGGAGTGATGGAGTTGTATTGATGTTTCCCTGCCTGCTAACAGCATATCCATTTGACTGCTCATGGATCAAGTGTTTTTGACTTTAAAGTCTTACTCAGAAATGTATTTTGTAAGGCTATTAATGGTGATTCATCTAATGAATCTGAGCAAAGTAAATTGAAAATCTTGGGATGGAATCACCATTTTAGATGCTGCTAGGAGTATTCACAATTCAGGAGGAGAGGTTAAAGAAGTAACATTAATAGGTGTTTGGAAGAACTTGATTCCAGTCATCATGAAAGAATTTGAGGGATTTCAAATTTCTGTGGAGGAAATACCTGCAGAGTGGAAATAATAAATCTGGAATTATACTATTATGGGCTACTGGACTCTTTTAGAATATTTTGCTGAGTTTACACACCTATAATATTCAAATAATGGAACTTAACCAGAAAAGGGGATACAGATGAATGTCCATTTTGTATCTGTGTATTCAATGTGGTTAGGATAGATATATAGTTACATTCTCTTAATGAATAGAGTGATTTGTTCTAATGGTGTTTGTAAATAGGATATCTTGTCTGTATCTTGTACAGCAACTAACCACTAGGAAGAATGTATGCAATATGTTAATTATTGAAACTGTCCTACCAATTTGATTTGAAACTATCTCATTGCTATTTGTTTATCAATAAAATTATGGGAAAAATATATAAATCTGGAATTAGAAAGTGGAACCTAAGAAATAACTCACTGAAT